TTTTTAGTGTCTTACAATTACACTGAACAGTGTCATTTCTAGCAGGGCATGATTTCAAAGCAGTGACTGAAAAACTTGCAAAGTTATAAGCTAATAAGCAATGAATCAAACACATTTAACATATTCCAAAGTCAGAGACTTTATATGGTTAACTGATGGTTTTTCTCAACTAGAGTTTATATACTTATTGAGACATGTAAAGGTATTACCCTAGAAGAGCATAATTTTAGTAAGTATGTGTATATATCAGCATGCGTGGGTACAGGGGTCAAACCAACCATGCAAGCACTGCTATTTAGATTAAGACAAGTACGTCTTGAGAAATACATCAGTTTTCAAATTGTCTGATGGGTCCCTCGTGAATGAACAGCTAGAACGTTGATTCCACTCACATAAAGATTTATTTTTTCCTTTTGGAAATCAGCAACTCGAATTTTTTGTTTTGTTTTTTTTTTTGGTTTTTTTTTTTTGCGGTACGCGGGCTTCTCACTGGTGTGGCCTCTCCCGTTGTGGAGCACAGGCTCCGGACGCGCAGGCTCAGCGGCCATGGCTCACGGGCCCAGCCACTCCGCGGCATGTGGGATCTTCCCGGACCGGGGCACGAACCCGCGTCCCCTGCATCGGCAGGCGGACTCTCAACCACTGCGCCACCAGGGAAGCTCCAGCAACTCGAATTTTGAACTTGATTATTTATTATGATATTTCAGCACCAAAAGCTAGCCTGCCTCCTTGAAAACATTTCCTCTTGTAATTAGGGGATATTGCACGCAAGTGGAAGAAATCCCTACGAATCTTCTTTTGGAAGCACTTTCTCATAATCATTCTCTCTCTAAAGAATTGAAGCAGCTTCTCGTTTTCATTTATTTATTTTGAGTTCACATGAACCGTAGTTGCTAAGACCTCAACGTGCATTCTGTCTTTAATCTTGATACTGTTCCCTGAGGTGGGTACTAGGATCTGAAATTTACAAATGAGATAACTGAAGCCTCATTTAAGCAACTTCCTGTCTAAGCTCTTTCTTTCTACAGCTCTAAATTTAAACAAGTATGTTGAAAGGAACTGCTTTTGGGGGGTTTACTTCCTCATATTTCTTCCTTTCCTTCCCTTTCAGCACTTTTTGCCCTTCCTTTCTTCTTCAATATTCTATTTGTAATGGCTCTGGCTAACATGAGGCAGGGAGGGTCACAGTTTTCCTGCCATCATTTTAGCTATTTCTTTATGATTTCCATTTGGTCTTCTCTGTATTCAGTCCCTTCTTTCACTCCCAGATAGTTCCTTCAGAGGCCCTGCTCCAGGCTCCGTTGCCAGCCCTGTTCACAGAGCTCCTGTACGTTATGTTTTCTTGGTTGCTGGGCCCCTGCTCACTTTATATTCGGTGCCCCAGACTTCACAATCCCCCTTCCCAAGCTGTCTCTCGGTTATGGCATCTGGCCTTCTTTCTCTTTCCTGTGACCAAGTCTCCACTTATGCTCCAGTTTCTAGAACTAGAACTTCGCCTAGTTTGCTGTGAACATTCTTCTTTTTCTCATAGACTTTCCCAACCTGACATGCGGATCAGGGACTGAGCCCCAGTTCTAGGCCTCCCCCTCAGGTCCTGCCTGGGACCTCACTAAGGATTGCGGTTTGAATCTTCACCTGTTATCTCTTTCCTTACTCCCTGCCTCTTTCCTATGATTTTTCCATCACCTATTTCAGGACCTTATTTATTTAGGATGACTGTACCATTTATCTTCTAAACAGCGACACTTCTGAAAGCGAAAGGAGGCATAATTAAAGTCCCACTGGGGGAACAGGCCTGTCACTTCACCTGACCCAGAACCTGAGTTTTGCACACAGCTTGACTGTTTACCGTGTGATGTTGGGAAAGCTGGTCAACATTTCTATGCCACACTTTTCTATATAAAATTGGGTTAACGGTTATACCTAGAAGAGCTAGGTGTTACGAGAAAGAAAGGAGTGAATACGTGGGAAGCATTTACAATGGTGACTGGTACATAGTAATCATTAAATGCATTTAAACTACAATTTGCATCATCTTTATGTTGTTGGCGAATTCATTAGCCTTTCTAAGACTGTGTGAATTGAATGTGATAATGAACCTAACCACCCTCCCTCCTCCAGACACTACTCTTATAATCCGACTTTGTCTCTTCTTACCGCGCAAATAACTACCTCCATTCCTCAACCCTTTCCCACGCATCTCCCCATATTTCCGCTTGTATTTCTTGTTCTAACAATGTATTAAGCAACATCTCAAAGCCAGAAGACAGTTACTCCTGACACCAGTTTCCTAATCAACACTCAACCTTTGGGAGAGCACAGTGAAATCGAGAGGCCGCAGAGCCAGATGTGGTTAGCACACTCTGTCTGCAGGCCACCGAGAAAACATTTTCACTGACTCCTCTAAGGCAAAGGTACATCAAGCCTGAGCCAAAAGAGGCTGCTGTCTTCCAGAAAAGACACCATAAGTGATCCTTACTGAGTGGCTCCTGCTTGCAACGAAATGGGTTTGAGAGGATAGAATTTGGCCAATGCCTGAAGCCTCCAAGATAAATCCTAGAGATTCTCTCTCCACAGAAAGCCCCCTTTCCTTATTGTCTGTCAAAGGTGCCACACAGTGGGCCATTGAGAATGTCTGCAGACTTTTTTGTTTGGTTGTTGACTAGAGATTTGGAACATTTAGTATGAGGATGGCTTCCCCTTAGAATTTGATTGTTACTCTGATGCCATAGTAAAAAAATGCTAGACATAATTATGTAGTTATTGCTTTGGAGAACGTGGGCATGGATACACAGACACACACCCCTTAGATATATTAAGTCCAAATGGCTGTACCCACATTTGGCCGCCAGCTCTAGTAATGAGGGATGGTCTTCATATACTTGAGGTGTGGGATTTGGTGAGTGAATTTCTGCACAAGTTCAGAGGGACAGAAATGATACTCGAGCCAGATTACAGTTTCTGATCTCTAGCTCCTCAAATTTCTGGCTATGTGGCCTTGGGCAAGGTACTTAACTCCTCTGATGTTCGGCTTCCTTGTCTGTAAAATGGAAAGGATCATAACAGTAGCCCCTTTCATATGGATATTGTGAGAGGTAAATTGGTGAACATGAGTAACACTTAGAACAATGTCTGAAACACGCTAAAAGCTAGATGGGTGAACTTGGCTGAGGGGTTCTTAGGAAACCCACACTTCTCTCATTTAAAAAAAAAAAAAAAGAAAGAAAGCTAAATTGACCAAATTGTAGAACACAGTTGATTTTACCTGGAGGCTGAAAATTCTCCCTGATATTTATGGTTATTTTAGAAAGTCAGACTAAATAATGTGGTTAGAATAAATAGATAACCAACAAGGACCTATTGTATAGCACAGGGAACTCTACTGAATATTTTGTAATAACCTATAAGGGAAAAGAATCTGAAAAAAATAGTTATATACGTGTATATAACTGACTCACTTCGCTGTTCACATGAAACTAACACAACATTGTAAATCAACTACATTTCAATTAAAAAAAAAAGTGCTTAGAATAGATTTTCTCCCTCCAGAACTGCTCTGGAGTTTCTCTGTAGGAGGGGTTCCAATCCTTGCAAACATATTTTCTATTATCATCCATAAGACGTGACTACATCAGGCTGGACCAAAAGTTTATTTATTTATTTGACGTGTACTAACTGAGTGCCCACCACATGACAGACTGGCATTTCAACGCTGAGAAGACAGAGAGGTACAGTTAAGTATCCAGTCAGTTGAGGCTCAGACTGATAAGTGTATGACAAGGGAAAATTCTGAGAGTATCTAAAAGGGGTGCTTCATCCAGACTTGGCCAGGACCAAAAAAGTCTTCCTTTATCAAAGTATGACATGTGGGCTGAGATTCAGGCTGGAAGAAGAGCAGAAATTATTCAGGTGGAGCTTGAGGGGAAATGTGTTTCAGGGAGATGGGAATAGTACTGATGAAGGTTCAAGACTTCTGAGAGTTTGGGAGGATTGAAAGAAAGAAAAGGCTGCACTGAGCTCTGAGCTAGGGAGTGATGAGGAAAGAAGCTGGAGATAGAACCAAGTAATTCTCTGATGATGAAGGAGCAATGCTCCCCACATTACGTACATTTTAGCACATTAGATATTCTATCTAAAATATATACCTATTTCCCAAGGGATAGTTTTTGAGCCTGGACTTTGCAATGTTAATATGAAATTAAAATTACTTCCATTTTACACATGTGAAAACTGAGATCCCCACTACTAGGTCATACAACTAGTAACTGGTCAGATTTGGATTTGCAACTGGCTCCTCCATGGTTCTTAAACTTTTTCCATTGTGCTGTATTGCTATCCAGAAAGGTATCTTCCATATACTACTATATAATATAATGACTTAAAAAATGTTGGACCTTAAAGAATATGTCTCAAGTAGAATCTGAACTCACGAGCTGTATAAGTTTGAGAAAGTTGCTCAAGCCGTCCATGCCTCAATTTTCTCGTTTTTAAAATGGGAATAATAATATTGTGACATAAAGTTGTTGGAGGGATTAAATATGTTAATACAGAAATTAGACAGTGCTTGGCACATAGCAGTGAGTATTCAATAAATGATACCTATTATTATTACTAGAATGTGACTAAAGCAATCTTTCTCACGTAAGAGATCACTGCTCGGTGAAACCATATATGCGGATGTCCAGGATTGAAGAGAGGCAGGGACTACATAATATATCCATGCATGTAAGAATGAAAAAGGAATGGCTTTTTACTGTTCCAAAGTTAAGCGCCATGCCCCGGCCTATTACAATGGTCTGATGATGCCTGCTATTCCAAGATAAAATGGAATTGAACAATGTAAAAACTCTGCACCTCTGCCCCATTGGTGGAGAGTCATTTTGATGTATAGACAAAATGGAACGCTTTTGTTGCACTCAAAAAACATTATTAGTTAGTAGTAAAAGGGAAAACATCAAAATCTTGGATTTCTTTTCTATGACAGCCATCAACAACCCCACATGGCCTCCCAAGAAGTTGATAGTGCAGAGCTCGGGGCAGCCTTGGCAGGTGGTGTCCCAGGAAGCCAGGTGGAACCAGAGGTGGTGAATAATTCTGCCTACTGGCCCATTAACTGATCATAAAATTACCAAGAGTGGGCTTCCCTGGTGGCTCAGTGGTTGAGAGTCCGCCGCCGATGCAGGGGATGGGGGTTCGTGCCCCGGTCCTGGAAGATCCCACATGCCGCGGAGCGGCTGGGCCTGTGAGCCATGGCCGCTGAGCCTGCGTGTCCGGAGCCTGTGCTCGGCAACAGGAGAGGCCACAACAGTGAGAGGCCCGCGTACCACACACACACAAAAAATAAATAACCAAGAGGAACTAAAAGCCCTCGGGGTAAGTCAGCCTCAGTTAAAAAATTGGCTTAAGGTGGAAAAACATAAATATCATGTGGAAAACCTTGTTTATGCCCATAAGGGGGAATTTCTGAATTACTCATCACTGAATCAATAATGTTGTTCCTTTAAGAAAAGAGTGGGGAATATTTTAGACCTGAGGAGTAGAAATGCAGAGGAATAATCTCATGGTGGGAGACATCCTATCAACACTGGAGAATGGTTTTCATCATATTATGGCCCCAAAGTATGCTGGGAAGACAGTTCCACCCAGTCTATGTTATCAGCCGTATCTCCTTCACTCTTCTGCCACTTTCTGAAAGGAGTTCGTGAGAATGAGCAGAAGTAGGAGGAAAGGGGAAGTTGAAATGTTGCCACTGGAATCGGTGGGATTCCAGGGAACAGAAACCTCCCAGAGTAGGCTTCTGCCCAGTTAATTTAGGCTTCATTTTTTTGACCATTTCAAGCACTGATATCTCCTTTCTGAGGAAAATTAAAATGATCTCTTCTCCAAATACCATATGATATCGCTTATATGTAGAATCTAAAATATGACACAAATGAACTTATCTACAAAAGAGAAACAGACTCACAGACATAGAGAATAGATTTGTGGTTGCCAAGGGGGAGGGCGGTAGTTTGGGATTAGCAGATGCAAACTATTATATATAGAATGGATAAACAACAAGGTCCCACTGTATAACACAGGGAACTATATTCAACATCCTGTAATAAAACCATAAAGGCAAAGAAAAATAAATAAATAAATAAAATGGTCTCGTCTTAATGTACACTATTATCGGACCATTTATGCATTCTCTTTTTTTGCTTCTTACAGGCTATCCAGATCCTGAATGGAGCAATAATTCTGTCTCTGGGTGTTTTTATGGGTTCCTTACAAAACTTGCCCCATCCATCCAATTACATATTTTTCTTGATCGCTTATACAGGCTATCAGATATGGAGCACTATATCTGTGAGTATTCAAATTTCACTGACCGTAGGTAATTTCTTAGATACCACTACTAGAAATGTATTTTGGCAACTTTTCTCTCAAATTTTAGGGGTGGCTTGGTAAACGATTGTGAGACTTATGAATTAAAAACTAGAATGAAGTTTTGAGAGGGCCATGAACATGTAGAGAGTTCCATTTATCAAAATTAGAGTCATGGAACTAACAGCAGGTCAAAATAATAACTTAGAAATTAGTGGATATGGATACTGAACCAAGAGGGCGGAGGAGAAGGACGTGCTCTCACTCCCTCTTGTGAGAACACCAGAATCACAACTAGCTGCGGGACAATCATGGACAGGAAGACACTGGAACTCACCAGAAAGATACCCACATCCAAAGACAAAGGAGAAGCCACAATGAAATAGCAAGAGGGGCTCAATCACAGTAAAATCAAATCCCATAACTGCTGGGTGGGTGACTCACAGACTGGAGAACACTTATACCACAGAAGTCCACCCACTGGAGGGAAGGTTCTGAGCCCCACGTCAGGCTTCCCAACCTGGGGGTCCAGCAATGGGAGGAGGAATTCCTTCAATAATCAGACCTTGAAGGCTAGTGGTATTTGATTGCAGGATGTCGACAGGACTGGGGGAGACAGAGACTCCACTCTTGGAGGGCACACACAAAGTAGTGTGCGCATCGGGACCCAGGGGAAGAAGCAGTGACCCCATAGGAGACTGAACCAGACCTACCTGCTAGTGTTGGAGGGTCTCCTGCAGAGGCGGGGGGTGTATGTGGCTCACCGTGGGGACAAGGACATTGGCAGCAGAAGTTCTGGGAAGTACTCATGGCGTGAGCCCTCCCAGAGTCTGCCATTAGCCCCACCAAAGAGCCCAGGTAGGCTCCAGTGTTGGGTTGCCTCAGGCCAAACAACCAACAGGGAGGGAACCCAGCCCCACCCATGAGCAGTCAAGTGGATTAAAGTTTTCCTGAGCTCTGCCCACCAGAGCAACAGTCAGCTCTACTCACCACCAGTCCCTCCCATCAGGAAACTTGCAGAAGTTTGCATTCTTAGAGAGCCACATCCACCAGAGGGCAGACAGCAGAAGCAAGAAGAACTACAATCCTGCAGCCTGTAGAACAAAAACCACATTCACAGAAAGATAGACAAGATGAAAAGGCAGAGCGCTATGTACCAGATGAAGGAACAAGATAAAACCCCAGAAAAACAGCTAAATGAAGTGGAGATAGGCAACCTTCCAGAAAAAGAATTCAGAATAATGATAGTGTAGGTGATCCAGGACCTTGGAAAACGAATGGAGGCAAAGATTGAGAAGATGCAAGAAATGTTGAACAAAGACCTAGAAGAATTAAAGAACAAACAAACAGAGATGAACAATAAAATAACTGAAATGAAAACTACACTAGAAGGAATCAATAGCAGAATAACTGAGGCAGAAGAACGGGTAAGTGACCTGGAAGACAGAACGGTGGAATTCACTGCTGCGGGACAGAATAAAGAAAAAAGAATGAAAAGAAATGAAGACAGTGTAAGAGACCTCTGGGGCAACATTAAACACAACAATATTTGCATTATAGGGGTCCCAGAAGGAGAAGAGAGAGAGAAAGGACCCAAGAAAATATTTGAAGAGATTATAGTCGAAAACTTCCCTAACATGGGAAAGGAAATAGCCACCCAAGTCCAGGAAGCACAGAGTCCCATACAGGATAAACCCAAGGAGAAACATGCCGAGACACACAGTAATTAAACTGGCAAAATTTAAAGACAAAGAAAAATTATTGAAAGCAGCAAGGGAAAAACGACAAATAACATACAAGGGAACTCCCATAAGGTTAACAGCTGATTTCTCAGCAGAAACTCTACAAGCCAGAAGGGAGTGGCATGATATACTTAAAGTGATGAAAGGGAAGAACGTACAACCAAAATTACTCTAACCCAGCAAGGATCTCATTCAGATTTGATGGAGAAATCAAAACCTTTACAGACAAGCAAAATCTAAGAGAATTCATCACCACCAAACCAGCTCTACAACAAATGCTAAAGGAACTTCTCTAAGTGGGAAACACAAGAGAAGAAAGAGACCTAACAAAAACAAACCCAAAACAATTAAGAAAATGGCAATAGGAACATACATACTGATAATTACCTGAAATGTCAATGGGTTAAATGCACAAAGCAAAAGACACAGGCTTGCTGAATGCATACAAGAAAAAGACCCATATATATGCTCTCTACAAGAGACCCACTTCAGGCCTAGGGACACATACAGACTGAAAGTAAGGGGATGGAAAAAGATATTCCATGCAAATGGAAATCAAAAGAAATCTGGAGTAGCAATACTCATATCAGATAAAATAGACTTTAAAATAAAGAATGTTACAAGAGACAAGGAAGGACACTACATAATGATCAAGGGATCGATCCAAGAAGAAGATATAACAATTATAAATATATATATACCCAACATAGGAGCACCTCAATACATAAGGCAACTGCTAACAGCTATAAAAGAGGAAATTGACAATAACACAATAATAGTGGGGACTTTAACACCTCACTTACACCAATGGACATATCATCCAAACAGAAAATTAATAAGGAAACACAAGCTTTAAATGACACAGTAGACCAGATAGATGTAATTGATATTTACAGGACATTCCATCCAAAAACAGAAGGTTACACTTTCTTCTCAAGTGCACACGGAGCATTCTCCAGGATAGATCACATTTTGGGTCACAAATCAAGCCTCAGTAAATTTAAGAAAATTGAAATCATATCAAGCATCTTTTCTGACCACAATGCTATGAGATTAGAAATGAATTACAGGAAAAAGACGTAAAAAACACAAACACATGGAGGCTAAACAATACATTACTAAGTAACCAAGAGACCACTGAAGAAATCAAAGAGGAAATCAAAAATACCTAGAGACAATTGACAATGAAAACACGAAGATCCAAAACCTATGGATTGCAGCAAAAGCAGTTCTAAGAGGGAAGTTTATAGCTATGCAAGCCTACCTCAAAAAACAAGAAAAATCTCAAATAAACAATCTAACCTCACACTTAAAGGAACTAGAGAAAGAAGAACAAACAAAACCCAAAGTTAGCAGAAGGAAAGAAAACATGAAGATCAGAGCAGAAATTAATGAAAGAGAAACAAAGAAAACAATAGCAAAGATCAATAAAACTACAAGCTGGTTCTTTGAGAAGATATACAAAATTGATAATCCATTAGCCAGACTCATCAAGAAAATGAGGGAGAGGACTCAAATCAATAAAATTAGAAATGAAAAAGGAGACGTTACAACAGACACCATAGAAATACAAAGCATCCTAAGAGACTACTACAAGCAACTCTATGCCGATAAAATGGACAACCTGGAAGAAATGGACAAATTCTTAGGAAGGTAAAACCTTCCAAGACTGAACCAGCAAGAAATAGAAAATATGAAGAGACCAATCACAAGTAATGAAATTGAGATGAAAAATCTTCCAACAAACAAAAGTCCAGGACCAGATGGCTTCACAGGTGAATTCTATCAAACATTTAGAGAAGAGCTAACACCCATCCTTCTCAAACTCTTCTAAATAATTGCAGAGGAAGGAACACTCTCAAACTCATTGTATGAGGCCACTATCACCTTTATACCAAAACCAGACAAAGATACTACAAAAAAAGAAAATTACAGACCAATATCAGTGATGAATATAGATGCAAAAATCCTCAACAAAATACCAGCAAATACAATCCAACAACACATTAGAAGGATCACACACATCATCAAGTGGGATTTATCCCAGGAATGCAAGGATTCTTCAATATACACAAATCAATCAATGTGATACATCATATTAATAAACTGAAGAAGAAAAACCATATGATCCTCTCAATAGATGCAGAAAAAGCTCTTGACAAAATTCAACACCCATTTATGATAAAAAAAATCTCCAGAAAGTGGGCATAGAGGGAACCTACCTCAACATAATAAAGGCAATATATGACAAACCCACAGCAAACATCATTCTTAATGGGGAAAAACTGAAAGCATTTCCTCTAAGATCAGGAACAAGACAAGGATGTCCACTCTCACCACTATTATTCAACATAGTTTTGGAAGTCCTAGCCATGGCAATCAGAGAAGAAAAAGAAATAAGAGGAATCCAAATCAGAAAAGAAGAATTAAAACTGTCACTGTTTGCAGAATACATGATGCTATACACAGAGAATCCTAAAGATGCCACCAGAAAACTACTAGAGCTAATCAATGAATTTGGTAAAGTTGCAGGATACAAAATTAATGCACAGGAAACTCTTCATTCCTATACACTAATGATGAAAAATCTTAAAGAGAAATTAAGGAAACACTCCCATTTACCATGGCAACACAAAGACTAAAGTACCTAAGAATAAACCTACCTAGGGAGACAAAAGACCTGTATGCAGAAAACTAAAAGACACTGATGAAAGAAATTAAAGATGATACCAACAGATGGAGAGATATACCATGTTCTTGGATTGGAAGAATCAATATTGTAAACATGACTATACTACCTAAAGCAATCTACAGATTCAATGCAATCCCTATCAAATTACCAATGGCATTTTTTACGGAACTAGAACAAAAAATCTTAAAATTTGTATGGAGACACAAAAAACCCTGAATAGCCAAAGCAGTCTTGAGGGAAATAAATGGAGCTGGAGGAATCAGACTCCGTGACTTCAGACTATACTACAAAGCTACAGTAATCAAGACAATATGGTACTGGCACAAAAACAGAAATATAGATCAATGGAACAGGATAGAAAGCCCAGAGATAAACCCACGCACCTATGGTCAACTAATCTATGACAAAGGAGGCAAGGATATACAATTGAGAAAAGACAGTCTCTTCAGTAAGTGGTGATGGGAAAACTGGACAGCTGCGTGTAAAAGAATGAAATTAGAACACTCCCTAACACCATACACAAAAATAAACTCAAAATGGATTAGAGACCTAAATGTAATACTGGACACTATAAAACTCTTAGAGGAAGACATAAGAAGAACACTCTTTGACATAAATCACAGCAAGATCTTTTTTGATCCACCTCCTAGAGTAATGGAAATAAAAACAAATATAAACAAATGGGACCTAATGAAACTTCAAAGCTTTTGCACAGCAAAGGAAACCATAAACAAGACGAAAAGACAACCCTCAGAATGGGAGAAAATATTTGCAAAGAAATCAACGGACAAAGAATTAATCTCCAAAATATATAAACAGCTCATGCACCTCAATATTAAAAAAACAAACAACCCAATCCAAATATGGGCAGAAGACCTAAGTAGACATTTTCCAAAGAAGACATACAGATGGCCAAGAAGCACACGAAAAGCTGCTCAACATCACTAATTATTAGAGAAATGAAAATCAAAACTACAATGAGGTACCACCTCACAGCAGTTAGAACAGGCGTCATCAGAAAATCTACAAACAACAAATGCTGGAGAGGGTGTGGAGAAAAGGGAACCCTCTTGCACTGTTGGTGGGAATGTAAATTGATACAGCCACTATGGACAACAGTATGGAGGTTCCTTAAAAAACTAAAAATAAAATTACCATCTGATCCAGCAATCCCACTACTGGGCATATACCCAGAGAAAACCATAATTCCAAAAGACATATGCACCCCAATGTTCATTGCAGCAGTATTTACAATAGCCAGGTCGTGGAAGCAACCTACATGCCCATTGACAGACGAATGGATAAAGAAGATGTGGTACATATATACAATGGAATATTACTCAGCCATAGAAAGGAATGAAATTGGGTCATTTGTTGAGACGTGGATGGATCTAGAATATGTGTATTTATTATATGATAAATTATGCACACCCATATAAACCTGTAAAAGGCCAAGAACAAAACAAAATGAAAATCTTATACATTTATTCAAAATTTAGACTCATTTAAAATTTTATTTGTATAAAATGATGAGCAAAGTCAAGTATAATTTTGTGTTCTAGAATGTGAATTTGAAAAGGAAGTTTGTACAAGTACCGCTAGGTATCTGCTAACCAAGGAAAGATCAAGAAAAGATGGTTGAGACTTAACATTCCTTTATGTGCTTCACTTCCTATTTGCAAGCAGTTTATTGTCTCAGGAACCTTATCTGTCGTAGTTGGGAAAAAAACCCATAAAAACACTGGTAAGTGAAGTTCTTCTTTTTCTACGGTCATAGGAGTAGAAATAAGTCATCCATTAACAGTAAGAGAGTTGAGGTTGGTGAATCCAGCCGAGACCCTGAGTGTCATTTAATGTGCAAGAAAATTAATTTTCTTTTCTTAAGGCATTCAGGTGGTAGATCATCAGAAAATCATATAGATTGTGAGTCTGGGATGATTACTACGACTATGATGAATCTGAAGCTTAGAAAAAGGCTTTTTGATATTTGTGTGTTCTTAAAGTTAACTAATTCTAATGATTTTCAGGGGGCACTCTCCTGCCATTAGTTTCACAGCTGAAAGCTAAGTAGTCTATATTTTTAGTGCTCATTAAACACTTAGCAAGTCTCTATTATGTGTTCCCACTCAACCATCTGCCCATTTATACTACTTTTCTAGCCCATTCACATTTCTACTCTATCCTCAAATGCCAATGCCTTTTTTCTCATCTCTACTCTGTGTTGATTCCCTTGCTTCCTATTCCGAGAAACTCAAGCCATTGGAGGAGATATTTCAGACCCCCACTATAACTACTTCATGGGCCAGATCTGTACCGATATATTTTTTTCATTCTAACCTCTTACCGTAGGTGATTCCTCTATGATTTTCTTCAAACCAGCACCCCTCCTGGAATGCTAGATTCTGTTTCTTTTTCTCCTTGCAAGTGCATCACTCCAATTCTCTTCCTACTAGATCTTTTTAATCAGCCCATAAGCATCCAATAACTGCTAAGAAAAAAAAAATCTTGACCTTATTTTCTGCTGCAAGCTACAGTCACAATTCATTTTCCCTCCTGTAGCTAAACTCCCTAAAGGAATGCTCTACACTCTGTCTCCAATTCCTATCTACCCAGTTTCAACTAAACCCACTGCAATAAGGCTTCATTTTCTTCCCCATCACACTTCTGTAACTGCTCCCTTTAAGATCGCTGAACACTTCCACATTGGTAACACAGAGCTCAATTCTCAGTCTTCATCTAATTGACCCATTAGCAGCACTGGTCTCGCGCTCCTCCTTCCAATAATTTCTTCACTTGGATTCCAGGAAAACTTGATTAGCCGCTTTTCCTCGTGTCTTCTTCTTTCCTCCTTCTCAATCTCCTTTCCTAGATCCTTTTCTTCTCTCCAACACTTTAATGTTGGGGCACCCCAAAGCTCCGTTCTTTGTCACCTACTCTCTTCACTCCTCTGGTGATGTCATCCACTCTCATGGCTGTGATTGGCATCTATATGCCCACAACCCTGAAATAAACACTTCCAGCCTACATCTCTCTGCTGAACATCAGACTGGCACACCTAATTGCTTAGAGTCCTAAAAAGTTCAAAACTCAACCCCTAATCTACCTCCTCAAACCATCTCCATCCACTGTCCTCATGTCAGCTGATGGGAACCCCACCCTTCCACATTGCCAGGCCTCAAACCTTAGAATTGGCTTAGGTTCTTCTTCCTTTGACAATCTTGAATCCAGTTTGTCAGCCAATCCTGTTGGCCCTACATTCGACGTATATCTGAGTTTGACATTTTCTCATCTTTCTACTGATAACACCTCATCTAATCTCCACCACCTCTCTTAACTGGGCTCCTTGCTTCTACCCTCGGCCCTCTCTAACTAGACTCTCTTGAGATATCAGTATTCCCTTTAAAACAGAAATCAAATTGTGTTGCCACTTTGCTCAAAATCCTCTAGTGGCTCTATGTTTTCCTTGGAGTAAGAACAGAAGTCCGTTGTGTGACCTGTGGGCCTTATGTGATCTGGCCCGCAGTTCACTTTCCACTTTCATTTTCTAATGCTCTTTGTTTTGGTCACTCCCCTCCAACACCCTACCCCCTTGCTTCCCTGGACCATACCTGGAACACTCTGGCCTCAGGCCTTTGAACTGACTGCAAGGACATGCCCCCCAGATGTCCTGGGGGGACTAACTCCCTCAGCTCCTTAATGCCTCTCCCCAGGGGTCATTTCTATTTAACATCACAAACTCCACTCCTCTCTCTGGATTTCCTGGTCCTCCTTACTTCCCTCTATTATCCCATAGCACTTAATCACTTTTAAAAATGCTATATAATTTATCTATTAGTATGCGTAATTGTCTTCTTTGTCTTTGCTACTAGAACGTAAGCTCCATGAGGGTGGGGAGTCTTTGTTTACCGATGTTTTTCCAGGACCAACCTAGGTTATAGCTGGGTGTGTAAACCACTTTCAATGGCTATTTATTTAAATGACTGCAGCCAAAGGAATGAAGTATGTGCTGCCTATATTAATGGAAATTTCTGTTTCTTTTTTAGATGGAAAGCAATTTTAGGATGAACATCGCCAATGCTACTATTGCACTAGTTGGACTTGTTTTTCTCTCAATTTATTCGCTAATGGCCCATTACTCAAGGATTGTCAGTCTTCTCAGCCACAGGACTTATGCATTTACAAAGAAGCTTCCTCAGGTGTATGCCTTTAAAAATTAGAGAAAGCCCACGCACAGCAACGAAGACCCAATGCAGCCAAAAATAAATAAATAAAATAAATAAATTTTAAAAAATTATGTGTAATTATAAAATATTTCGACAATCTAAAATGTAGAGAAAATATACATCAGGTACCATGCTGCCTTCACTTGAATCTTGGTTCTGCCACTTAGTAGCCCTGTAATGAAAGGACAAATTAGATAACCTCGTTGTGTTTCAATTTTCTCATCACTGAAATGAGGATAGTGGTAGTATCAGTCTTAAAGGGTTGGTGTAAGGATTACATAAATTAATATTTGATAAGCAATTAAAACTGCATATTATGTACTACTACTGTTACATTCTCCAGAGAGATTACATTTTTTAAAAATTTTATTCACATCTTGCATAATGAAACTAACTTGAGAGGTTTACAATTTTCTGCGTGGTCTGGGATTTTCAAATAGTGACTCATTGAAGTTTTGAATGGCTTCACTTTTGAATTTATTTGAGTATGGTATTTTAAAAGGGAAGTTCTTTAATAACCCTTTCAAAGTATTTTTTGTTCATGTTTAGGTGTTCTCCCTCTTCTGTGGTCAGCTGAGAAATTAATATTTTCCTCCAAATTTGTCCATTTTCCCCATGATGATTTATGAACTGTTATTTACTGACTTACTCCTAATCCTCCTGTTTGCTGATACTACTCATGCGAGTTTGTGTCCTCACATTTTTTTTTTTTTTTTTTTTTTTTGCGGTTTCCGGGCCTCCCACTGCCGTGGCCCCTCCCGTTGCGGAGCACAGGCTCCGGACGCGCAGGCTCAGCGGCCATGGCTCACGGGCCCAGCCGCTCCGCGGCATGTGGGATCTTCCCGGACCGGGGCACGAACCCGCGTCCCCTGCATCGGCAGGCGGACTCTCAACCACTGCGCCACCAGGGAAGCCCTGAAACTCCAATTTTTAAAATGATTATTTTATAGGTTGCAATGTGCTTCTACTTACCTTTTCTTCATTGAGTCTTACCAAAGTCCTTCTGTCAAGCCCAGGTTTTATCTTGGGTAGGCTGGGGACAGGGAAGCAGTAGAGTGTGGTTTAGAATAGTTGGAATCCTGAAATCAATGTTTTGACATTGCTTAGGGAGGGGATACTTTAGGAATATCTCAGAAAGAAAAAAAAAGTACATTACTCATAATCTGATTGTGACAAAAATGTAAGAGCTAAAAAACAATAGAGGAAAAAATAAAATCAGAGAATGCTAAAGGGAGCAACTGGAACGCTTAAGGGTCACTGAGAGAGACAGAGAATGATGCCTTGATATTTAAAAAATATAACATTTTTTATTGCTCTTTGAATGTTCCTGGTGAACCTTTCTCCAAAGAGAATCCTCTGAAAAATCTCTATGAAGACCTATTGTCTCTGATGAATTAGCAGTTTGAGAAGACCTTGGAGTTTACAATCTGTAATTTGTGTACTGAGTCCAGGCATTTTCCTCCAAGTTTACCAGTAAGCTGGGGACATGGGAGAAGTGATTGATTGATCCATGTTTGGTTATCACTCATTCATTAACTCATTCAATAAATATAGTGTTCCTACCATGTGCTTTGTCATTGTGCTAAAAATTCAGAAATAAAATTATAAGTTGTAGAATTATTTTGTTCCTATTTTCATTGAACGATAATGCATTTAGTCAAGCGTTTAAAATAAAACCCCGACCAAATAAGGGGTTATGTAAATGGCAACAATTTGATACTGATTAAAGAACAATTTGAGTCATTAATTTAGGCCTTTGCCTCAGAATGAATTGTCTCAACCATATCTGATTCAGAGGATATTTAGATGAGACTTTGGACTTAGTCCTGAAACAAATTAAGGCTATTGGGATGGACGGGTATATTCTGTACGCAAGGAGAACCTGGATGCCTGCCATCTCCCTAATAAGATGTTCACAAAAATTAAACAAAAGTTTATGAGGAACTTATCCAAAAAGAAAACATGGGAATTTTTTTCCAATTGTTTCTTTTAAAAATTAAATTAAGAAATAAATTTATTTTTTAAAAGTTTTAAATATTTTATAAAATTTTTAAAGGTTACTTACAGTTATTACTAAATATTGGCTGTATTTCCCATGCTGTACAATACATTCTTGAGCCTGTCTTACACCCAATAGTTTGTACCTTCCACTCTCCCCCCACTGCATTGCCCCCCTCCCCATACTGGTAACCACTAGTTTGTTGTCTATATCTGTGTCTACTTCTTTTTTGTTTTATTCACTAATTTGTTGTAGTTTTTAGATTCCACATATAAGTGGTATCATACAGTATTTGTCTTTGTCTGACTTATTTCACTGCCATGGGAACATTTTTTAAAACAAAGCACATGGCTCTCTAGTCTGAAAATGGTTACTGGCTATCCAGTAAGATTAATGCATAAGATTTACAGTAAATTTTAACATTAGGTATGTCTTACCTCTATGGATTAAAAGGCATTATAAAAGTTTTCAGAGAGAAAATGCATGGCACATACAAATATCTGGAATTAAAAATTAGGGTGAAATTCTCAAAATGAAATCTAGATGCTGGAAGAAAACGGAGTGAATGATTCTGGGTCAAAAACATTTTCTGGTTCAAACTCTATATGTCTTTAGAATTCAATTAAGTCTAAGGGTATTAAAGAAAGGAAATGTTCAGGCCAACAAAGACTCAGAAATACCACCCAGGGCTTCCCTGGTGGCGCAGTGGTTGAGAGTCCGCCTGCCGATGCAGGGGACACGGGTTCGTGCCCCGGTCCGGGAAGATCCCACATGCCGCGAAGCGGCTAGGCCCGTGAGCCATGGCCGCTGAGCCTGTGCGTCCGGAGCCTGTGCTCCACAACGGGAGAGGCCACAACAGTGAGAGGCCCGCATAGTGCAAAGAAAGAAACAAACAAAAAAAACCACCCAGATACTGTTTCTCAGCATGTGACCAGGGAATATATTCTATCAACATGCAATAGCCTACCAAGAAAGAGTAAAAGGTGATATGGAGCAGGACCCTGTGGGGCTTCTGAGCACAAAAGCCTTTCTGTGTCCCCCATTTCTTTGATTAGGAAATAGACTTCATTCAGCCTCCAAGACCTTCCCTGAGTTCCAGCTGGGCAGGTTCAAACAGTTGTTAATTAGAAGGGAGGGGATGCAGGACAAGGGAGGAGCAGTCAAGAGAAACAACAGTGCAGCCTTGGGGCAGGGTCCTGATTCCCCTCAAGGGATACACACACGACAATATCTTTGAGCTGTTTTGCAGATACTGAAACCCCCACTAGGTGGCAGAAGTAAACAGTGTGCTGCCCACTAGCTCGGAGACCCCAGATGGGTTGGAACCAGAAGGTTGATGATGTTGCCTCCCACTTACCTCCCCACCACCCAATCAGGAGAATGTCCACAGGCTGATCACACCCTCTTTGAACCATTACGATAAAACTCCTCACTACCCCCCTCCAGGTTGGAACACACAGTTTTGAGAGCATTAGCCTGCTGTTGCCTCCTTTGCCTGGCAAAGCAATAAAGCTGTTCTTTGCTACTTCACCCAAAACTCTGTCTCCGAGATTTAATTCCGTGTCGGGGTACAGAGGGCTGGAATTGGCTTCAAAGGTGGGGTCAGGAAATAGGAAATCCAGTATAAAACAGGGCAATGGGAAGTCCTAGGATCATTCCTGAGTGGCATGTTTACTGGCAACCAGTCCAGATTGAAGCATGAGGTGACACAGGGGACTCCAGGAGAAGAAACATGTGATACATCACTCTCCAGGGTTAGCAAAATGAGGGTTGATAGGCACTTTATGCAACATGTGTAAGGTATTAGGAGATGAACTTATGTCTAGAAAATAAGCCAATAAAGAACAGGAAGTCACTAAAAGTTGTGAAATAATACTGAAAATAGTAAAACTGAATTTGAACAAACATTCAGATATAATTATGTTAGAAGGATAGGTAGAAAGGAAGAATGGGTTTAAGAAAGCGAACATGCTAATGATCCATAATAAAGAATAGAACAGTTGATGTCCACGCCTTGTCTGTGATGCTAGAGGTCTCATAATTTTCCTCTCTGAGCAGATGTTCTTCGTCACAAGTGGACAAACACAGTTCACACCTATAATTTTCCTTGTTGAAAAGTGTCATTTTGGAGAACAGAAGGAGTGTGAGCTAATAAAGAATTAACATGTGCTGGACCTTGGCAGTTAAGTGGTCTAGAGGCTGAGACAGCAGTTAAACTCCAATTTTAGAAAGAGATCAAAAAGATTTTAAGCCCTTGGATAGTCTACATAAATATTTCCGAAGTCATATAAATGAAGAGACAGAGGTTTTCTCTTCAAGTTTGAACTCAGCTCTAGGCCTTTTAGAAACACTCATCTTTTTTCATAAACAATATTTTCTCATTTCCTTCATTTTAATAACCACGTTTCCCATGGAACATTGGGAGCTTGTATCAGTCTCAGCCTCTCTCACCTGTGAGCCATATTTATTGAAGCCATACTTGGCTCTGGGATGTAGAAATGAGAGAGAGAGAGAGAGAGAGAGAGAGAGAGAGAGAGAGAGAGACTGGAATTCCTTTGGGGGTATCAGAAAATAGCTCGAAGACATAGCAACTTACAATTTGCAACATGTAAATTCGTGCATGTTTAAGTGAACTGAGCATTCAGTTTGAGAAAACAATTGTTCAGATGGGATCTCAAAGCAAATTTCTTTTGAGTTTGGGGAAGTAAACCCAGTGTATATCTGAGAGAAGAAACTTTGCTTGTGAAAGAGGAAGCCAGATGATAACTGGGTGAAAAGCATGGACAGATGTGCTGCCAACAAGAGGAAATATAAGCTGAGGAGGGAAGTGTTAGTGCCATTATCTCTTCCTTTCAGTCAGAGGCATGGTTAAAACTCATCTTGATAATATTGCCCCCACCAAAAAAAAAAAAAAGACATTTTGTCATAGGCTTCAATGTTTACTATTGTGAAAGATGAAAGAGTATAAGGACCAAAAGTGAGGGCCCAGAGATGATAAGCATCTCAGAAGGGGGTAAGAAGAAGATGCTGGTGAAAACTGAGATATGAAACAAGTTGAAGATCACGAGATACATCTCAGTTACAGATTTGCATGCTGCAAGTTTCTGTTGAAAATTCTCACAAAATAGCATTGTGTCCAAAGACCAAAGACCATCCTCAATGCTCCCTGTCTACAACTCAAGTTTAATTTCTAATTATTCTCTGCAAACATAATGAACTATTATAGACTACTCCCAGAAAACACCACAAACAGGCATTTTTTCAGGCCCCGTTTTAGCAGATGTGGTGTTAATTCCACTGAGGGAGAGGCAAATGAACGAAAACTCCTGAGGTTACCATTTGAAGTCTTGGCTGAAATGTGAACTTTCTCTGGGAATCTCTTACTTGACTTCTACATACCCTCTAAGAGGCAGAACTGTACATCCTCCTGTGTGTTCCAGCAGCCTCTGACATGTTGGTAATATATTATTTATCTTTGTTCTACTCTGCCAGATAGTGCGCCAGACAAAGGCGGGGACCATGGTGCTCATCTCTGCATGCTCAGTGACAAGAGCAGTGCCTGACATGGAGCGTTAAGTCCCTTTTGGAGGAATGTGTAAGTGAATGAGTTTCATTAACTCCAACAACATACTGGTCAGGTCCACCGATTCTGGAAGACACAGTGGGAGGATGGCATGTGGGTTAATACATTTTTGTTATGAAAGGTGTGCTAATGTATCTTTTAGCGTCCCCTGTTCACACAAACATCTTAAGTTTCTTGGAGAAAGAGAAGAAATTTGTATCACAAACCAGAGAGACAGTACAGATGCACAGAAGTAAAATTTGTAGTAAATTAAACTGTAATATATAAACTGAAAGTAAGTAATATAAACTTACTTACTTTATATAAAATAAACTGTAAGTAAATAAACTGAAATAAAAGAGTCCCAAATCTGTGAATCTCACCTGTATATTCATTTTGCTATGGTCTAGCTAGATATGCTATTAAAATAAGCACGTCAGTTTAGCTCCGACCCTAATTTAGGCATACTGCTCAGGCCAAGGCTGCTTAGATCTACTCATAGAATTTGTTATGAAGTTCATGCTCCTCAGTGTTTCCATAGGCCCATCCTTGCCATCACAAAAACCAAGGCAGTAGAGAGTCAACCTAACCTTTTAGTAGACAACGGAGTCTTCAGTGTGAAAACTTCTTAGCTTTCACACTGTCAGGAATGGTTCCCAGGCCTTAGAACTCTGCCTGTCCAGTTTCTGAGACCATCTGCTACAAACAGCCATATATAAGCACTGTCCAAAAGACAGGAAGAAAGAGAAAGACAATAAATATTGAAGTCAAGGACAAATCCAGAGATTCAGAGACTAAGACACACTCATACTTGCAAACTGTGCTTCAGCCTTAGATTACGTGTGAAGCCAAGTCTTCCAAGGACAATTGGAGAACTTCTGGCATAGGAATGGCTGAACCAGGTCACAAGCAGAGAAAGCACCAGGAGAGAAGCCAATCTCTTTATGTCCCGCGGTTCTCTCTCACCTTCTCAGTCCCCACTAAACCGACTCATTTTTAGGTTCTGTAAATCCTGCTGGTTTCAGGCAGAATTATCTTCCAGGAGTCTCAAATTTCCCCATTTCACTCTCATCCCTATTCAGTAGCCCACTCAATTTTGCTCTTCCTTATAACAAGAAAAGCCCTACTGATCTTAGCCAGGAAAATTATCTTTCTGACCAATGTCTTAAGCATGAAGATAGTTATCAGTGTCATGAGTCAACCCATCTTAACTGACCATCCGGAGACTCTGTGAGAGGGACCCCACCAAGGCTCATTGTAACACTGCTCTTCACCACCATATAGCTCAGTTAATGAAAAAATGGACACAGAAATTGGGAGAAGAACGGATCTTGCTCTCCCAAACCCACAAGGGCCCACCAGGTAGGTACAGGTTATTATTTTCTTCTATTTCCAGTCACTTAGTGAACCAGAGATAGTCACAGTGCTGGGGAGATGCCAAATCATGAACATAGGCATGGACCCATGAGGTTTAACTAAAATACAGTGTATAAAGAAGTTATTTGCTATACTTTTTCACTAGTTCTCTCTGGTTGATGGGGAAGAAGGTTTTTACTTAGCTTTTAAATTGGGAACAACTTAAGTTTTCTAACAAAAGAGGTTCATATTCTGGGTATGGGGTAGGGGAGTTTGTGTTGGTTTGGCCAATTTTCTCTACGACATTATGGGAAAAAATCGAATGAACTTTTTGGCCAACCCATACTATCAGTAGAGATCTCTTGCCTATGTGTCTGATGTGTGTTAAGGGACAGAAGGTTTTCAAAATGACCTCGGGCTTCTTTCTGGTTAGTCTTTGTGAATCTCAAGCTGTGGGATCCTGCCCCACTGTTTAGAGGGGAAATGTTCCCAGAGTGAAATCTGGTGGAGATGTGCATAGTCTAGTTTTCCTTCGAATACCAAAAATTAACACATGTTAAGACTTTCTTCTTAAAGGTTTTAGGAGAAACTAAAGACAGAGCTTTGGGAATCAATATTGGATTGAATATCATTGCAAAATATTGAGTAGACTCTGAAGGCACAGTATTTCCAGTTAGCTTCCTCTGAGGATGAAAACAGGAGTAGAGATCAACAAATCCTTCAAAACCATTCCTTTATGCACATGAAATTGAGTGTGTCATTGACAAAATATTTTCAGATACATTTCTATGTTAAAAAGACTGAGAGATGCATAGGTAAACATGTCTGTTGGATTATTTTTAGTTGTACGCATCAATACAGATTAATGAGAAAGAACCTGGTAATAATTCTAGATTAAGAATAAGACTTGGGGGCTTCCCTGGTGGCGCAGTGGTTGAGGGCCTGCCTGTCGATGCAGGGGACACGGGTTCGTGACCCAGTCTGGGAAGATCCCACATGCCGCGGAGCGGCTGCGCCCGTGAGCCATGGCCGCTGAGCCTGCGCGTCTGGAGCCTGTGCTCCGCAAGGGGAGGGGCCAAAAAGGGGGAGGGGCCGGGACCCCAAAAAAAAAAAAAAATAAGACTTGGCCTGGGGCTTTTTTGTTTTTGTTTTTTTTCCCTTTTGTTCCATCTAATCATTGATGAGACAGTAATCTTGGCCACTAACTTGGACCCTCTGAGCCTCAGAATTTCTTGTACTTTACAGTGAAGATTTTCATTGCAGGATTGTTTTGAAACATAAACAAGCACAATTCCCCTGTCAGTTGAGAGCTTTGCACAGGGAGTTAGAGCATTTTCTCATGGCTGCATTTCTGTTTAAACTTCATAGTGCGCCTGAAATTGAACTTTCAATAGTATCTCTCCATGATAACAACTTACTGGAGAAAGCTGCCCCATCCCCACCACGCCAAACGTGGCTGACTCTTTTGAAGAAGGAGCTGGAATTCCTGGGGGTGAGTGAGCCTCCTCTAATCACAACCAGAGTAAAGACTGGCTCTAAGGAAGTGTATTTGTTGGCATCCACATAGTTTCCCCACTCAGACTCAAGAGGAGTGAAATACCTGGTAGACGAAAACTTGACACTTTCTGCACCCTGTTGGGTAAAAAGAAGCATTTCCTCATGAAGACCAGGATAAGAATAACAAATAGGATCTGTCAACTCTGGTCAGTTGCCAGTTGATTAATATCATCCTGTGAAGGATTTATAATCTTTATCTTCTCTTAGATGGAAAGAGCCATTTTTGATGTCTACCATGAGAATGTAAATAAAGACACAGGAGAAATGCACTGGCTATTGCTGCCTTAAGTCGTGCCTACATAAATTCTTAGAGTGGCCAGATGATAGTGGAAAATATTGCGTTTGGATACTTTCTCAGGACTGCCTAAGACACCAAAGCAATTTCTTACATTTCCCCTTGATTATAAGGAAATTGATGTAATCTTAGGAAAACGTCTTCTTATTTCACAAAACGTATGCATTTTTCTACAGGTAACACAAATTCTGATTAGTTTGATATGCCTTTATTTTGGAATAATCGTCTGCTCCGTGTTCAATAATTCAGAATTTAAAGAAGAATTTTTTTCATCATTTAAAGCAGGCTACCCATTCTGGGGAACAGTATTTGTGAGTATATGTCTACAATTGTCTCTGAAATGACACTGTACATGGCTTTTCTTTTATTCAGATCAGATCTGACCAATTGTTTATTCTAGTATTTAGAATATATGAATATATTCTAATATGGAGATATGTAAATATACATACATATTTGCAGTTTACGAAGCACTTTGGGTTGAATGTGCTAACACACGTTTATCGGATGAGAAACTTGGGATTAATAAAAGTTAAACATATTACCCAAGAGGCATTTAGCTAATAAAAATTGAAACTAAACTTTCAGAACTCAACTGCAGAAAAATTTCCCTAACACTATCCATCAATAAAGTTATCTTAGTGAAGGGAGGGGGAAGAGATTGCTGAGGTGAGGAGAACAAGACTGACATCTGAGGAACTTCTACTGTGCCCTAGAAACTCTTTTTTTTTTTTTTGCGATACGCGGGCCTCTCACTGTTGTGGCCTCTCCCGTTGTGGAGCACAGGCTCCGGACGCGCAGGCTCAGAGGCCATGGCTCACGGGCCCAGCCGCTCCGCGGCATGTGGGATCTTCCCGGACCGGGGCATGAACCCCTGTCCCCTGCATCGGCAGGCGGACTCTCAACCGCTGCGCCACCAGGGAAGCCCCTTAGAAACTCTTTTAGGTGCTTTCTCATTGTATCTTTTTTAGTCATTGTACTATTTAGAAACTAGATGGCTGAATGAGCTCACAAAAATATATAGCTTTACTGAAGTATAACTGACATACCATAAATGGCACATTTTAAGGTGTACAATTTGATAAATTTTGACACATGTATACACATGTGAAAACCTTACCACATCCATATAATGAACATACTCATAACTGCCAAAAGTTTCCTTGTTTCCCTTGGTAACCCTTCCCTTCCTCAACCCCTATCTTCCCATCCTTAAGCAATCACTTGTTTTTTGTCACTATAGATTAGTTTGCATTTCCTAGAGTTTTATATAAATGGAATTATACACCATGTTCTGTCTACTGTCTGGCTTCTTGCACTTGCATAATTATTTTCAATTAATCCATGCTGTTTTTTGTATCAACACTTCATTCTCAAGGGTATATTATTTTAACCCTAATCACATTGGCTTGGCACTCTGCTAAATACTTAGGTCTCTGGTCACTCGTTCAAGACTCTCCTTGAACCTTTGCCATATTTTATTTGAAACTTCCTTACTGTCTTTTCATTTCAAACAGCTTATTAGATGTCTCTCAACTCATCATACAATCTGAATCTTTGGAATTTTGTTTTAATTTGTGCTATTGGTTGATATCTTCACTAGATCTTTCACCATACGCATTTTCATAATTACTATATGTCTATACGATACATGGCAGACTCTGGAGACAGACACATGTTTCTGGCCCAAAGGAGTTGACAACTACAACACACAAGTTGCTCATGAAAGCAAATGATTACAAAAAAATTAGAGTAGTGTTATAATCACGCACCAGGGCTGCTGGAACTTACAATATTTAATAGTAACCCATGGACTGTTCAGGGTTGGCATCACCTGGGAGCCTGCTAGAAATAAAGAATCTCAGGCCTCATCTAGGACTTACTGAGTAAGAATTTGCATTTTAACAAGACTCTCATATAATTCATATGTACATTTAATTTTGAGAAGCTCTCTCTAGGAAATAAAAAATAAAATAATAAAATTTAAAAGTAAAGGAGAGCTTTATAGAATACCCACAACTTTACCTTCTATTTGGAGGATGGGGGTGAAAGGGACACAGAGAAGAACAGAGACTCACTGTGCTATTTTTTTTTTCCTCCTCCCTTTTGAACAGTTTGCTATTTCTGGATTTTTGTCAGTTATGTCTGAAAAGAAACATGCAACATATCTGGTGAGTTGCATTCTGTCTTTGTACATCCTTGAGAAGGTAAGAAAAATCTAATTTTGAGAGTCTTGAAAAAGATATGTCGTCATCTCTTATGAGCAAATGTGGATGTGCGATATTTTTCCAATCTACTTGGTATTTAACGTAATCACTAAAAATAAAATCATTAGAATACCAATTGTATCATTTAAAAACAATAAATGTAACTACTCTGACACTTGCTGAAAAAATAACCTCACACCTTCTCTGTCCTCATAATCTAGTCCTACGATGAAATAAATGACTCGTTTCCAATGAAGGAGTCTATTTGAGGAGAGGCTATGAGTATCCACGTGGCTTTTCCTGAATGCAGTCCTAGCAAGAAAGTTATAGGTCCTTATTACACAAGTACATTTTCAAGATTTCCCTTTTTCGTCTATATTTTAAGTAAATGCAGAGTTTATTGGATAGATCCAGCCCTGAAATGCTGATAGGTTTATTGAATACTGTGGCGGGGGCAGGACCAAGTCTAAATGTTGTTCTTTGTCATCAGATACGAGGAAGTCTGGGAGCAAACACTGTCAGCAGCATAGCTGGAGGAATAGGAATCATCATCCTGACGATTAACCTAAAGAGGAGCTCAGCTTATATCTACCGTTGCCGGGATATTTATGAGAACGACTTCTGCCTTGTGGCTTCTGTTTCCACTGTATGTATTTCTTGTGGGAAGACTAAGATTCTGGGTCTTAATCTCAGTAAGACGCCTTCTCTTCCTTTCCGTGAACACGATCCTTTCTTGCAACCTCAATCGCATAATGCAGTGTTCCGGAGGCTCATACCCAGAGATGTACCGGCCACCTTCCCCTGCCCCCCAAGCTGAATTCTGCAAGGGTGGAGTCATCTGCTTTGAGTAACCATCTCCTGGTTTTCCCACGTGTCATCTTATAGGAACTGGTCTTGAGGGTGGGCGGTCATGAAAACAAGGGTTGCTGTAAGGGAATGTACTTCTGGGACACCTACCTTGTCACTCTACTTGTCTTTCTGGTTGTTGCTGGTTGTTATTCAACAGGAAATTGTGGCAATGATCCTGTTTCTCACCATTCTGGGGTTTTGCAGTGCTGTGTCACTCACCGTCTATGGGATTGGAGAAGTAACTGAAGGAAATAAGGTAGGCAGAGGCCTGAGATTAAATCTTAAACAATAAGCTAAAGAATTCGAGCTTTGCTGCTTAAAAGCATGGCCTGGGTTTCCTGCAACATTTCTTCCAGTTTCAGCATTCCGTTTCTCCAAGTTTCAGCACTCTGATTTCCAAATCTCAAGTTTTGAATCAAGTTTTCCACTCACAAATCTCACGGTATATCCCTGCGACTAAGAAGTTTAGGAAAATCGGATCTTCATCATTTTAGAAAATGCACATGCTTTGAAGTTGATGAGCATGAGAGATGAATATACAGGTAGCAAGTGGTGGAGACACTCAGGTATCTGGGCTCATTTGCTTTCCCAGAATAGTTCTATTTGTTCCTGCTCTCTTTTTTCTTGGCTTTCACCTTCCCACTTGCTCTGAAACCTCAAGCTTGTCTCCTCCCTAATCCGTGACTACCAACTGCATTTCCACTTGTCTTACGCATTTTACACCTTTGATGTACGAAAAAGACTTACCAATACCTGATGCACATACATTTACTCAGATCTTCCAGATAAAACATGCTCTCTCCATCTGTCCACTTGCCTGAAGCATTCAAGTCTGGCTGCCTTTTCTGATCACTTTCCTCCAGAGATAAGACAAGAGATATACCAAAGTTCAGACACAGAATCATCTCACCAACTTCTCAATGACTGACAGTTTTTTCTGAGCCCACTTGGCCAGACAATCTGGCTTGGTTTGTTAGAGATGGAGGTATTGATTACAGTGTAATGGGAGATGGTGAGATTCAGAAAGGCAAAAGGAGATGAGATATGCCTCTTAAGAAAGTCTTCTCGTGGCAGGAGGTTCTTGGTGATTGATAATGATTTTTTCCCTCATCAGATTCCAGAAGATCGTCTTTATGAAGAAGTAAACATGTATGCGCCAATTTACAGTGAGTTGGAAGACAGAGGGGAGGCAACTTCTCCCACTGATTCGTAAGAATCATGAGTCCAGAACATTCTGATTCATAGCAAAGGATCTAGAAAGCCAAGATCTTTGTTTAAGGGACTACTGGCAAAATTTCAATTCTTTCTGTGACCTGCCAGTTTTACGTTATGATTTATTCTCCAGATGACAAAATTCTATTTTTGTTGTTTCCATTCACTTAAATCCCCCTCCATTTGTAAATACGAAAGACTCCTATTTTTCTTGTTTTCTGTGGCTGTTTCACACCCATCCCTTCTGGGACGTCAACAGAAAACAAGAAAAATTAGCATTTACTCTGTGCCTAGAACTGTGCAAATAGAGGAAACAAGAGGAAGGCTGGTTGAGAGTGGAGTTAAACTTGGCAGTGTGGTAGTATTTGTCTCTTAGCCCCTTTTCGAGTTTACAAGAGCTGCAGCTGTCTGCGATAGGTGCCCCCCGCCCCTACGGGCTTATAAGCACCTTGAGGGCAAAGCCCACTCAGCAAACATAAACTGAGAACCAACTCAGTAAAGTTTTTCACGTCTGTCTCTTTCACTTTGTGTATCCCAGTATTTTATCCATAGTGGCTGCTCAGTGTGAATTTATGGAGTGTAGGGGTGAATATTCAGGGAGGGTATATCACCAGGTCAAGACAGAGGTAGGGGAGAAAAGGAGAAAGAAATGATTCTGAAGGGAATTTGGAGGTGATAAGAAGACCAAACTGACATATATTAAGAATAGGGTTAGGAGGACAGTCAGATGGCAGTTTGAATAGAGATTCTTCAGGTACGTATTAAACATTTTGGTGGAGCCGCATCAGGTTAGCAATGGATGCTTCCTGCTTGTGTTTGGTCTTATATGGACAAAACAACGTGGTATGTTAGAAGGATCACTGATCTTATAAAGCGCAGGGAGACTGCATTGGAATCCCAGGCCTATTGCTTATTAGTTGAGTGAGTTGTGGCAAATCATTTAACCTTTTACTTAATCTGGGTTTTCTCATCAGTAAAATTAACATATTAGGAATAATTTACCTGCCAGTGCTAAAAGTGTGTGTGGAAACACACACACACACACACACACAGTATAAATTAAAAGTGCTCTAAAAGAGAAAGAAATTATTAATAAATTAATTAATTCTTATATACATAAAGCAATCTGCAAATCTTAGTACTCGCTAATGATATAAAATTTAAGTCCATTTGATCTGAAAGGCTCCACTATTTTTTAAACAAAAATTTAATCCTAAGAGCCAAATATGTCAAGAGTAGTCAGTGAAAACAAAGCCACATTTGCTCAATGAAATCAGCTATGTTAAACGACAACAAAAATTTAACCCATTCTATATGAAAAAAAGTATGTCATTACCTTTGAAATAATTGTGTCCTCCATATGTTATTATTATTATTATTATTTACAATAGGTCCTTGTTGGTTATCTATTTTAAATATAGCAGTGTGTACAGCTCAATCCCAAACTCCCAATCTATACTTCTCCCCCACCCTTCCCCGCTGGTAACCATAACCTGTCTTAAAGTCTCCACTTTCTAAACCCACTTCACTTTCTCTTTAATATGCTTTGTGCTTGACCACCTCATGTCAACATCCTAGCTTCAAATGTTCTGCCTTCCCTTTTGTGCTTGCTTGAATTTCTTCTTTCTGTAATGCTTATCTTAAATCTCACCTGATTCTTTAAGTTTTTCTAGTTGATTGCTCCTCTCTCTAGAAGATAAGTTTTTCTAATCGAATACACACACCCCTTATACTCTATATTAAACTTTCTATATGCAAATATTTTATGTCCCCTCAATGATAATATATTTTTTCAAAGGCAAAAAGTCTCATAAAAATCTGTATGTTGCATGAATCACCAACACATTCACGGACACAATATTGTTCAGTAGTGTTTGCAGATTGATGAATAAGCAGCAGGGAGTTTTATTAAGTTACTCAGTATCTGGAGATGGAAACCGTAATGGAGAGATCACTTAATGAAGAACTTGAAAGAAGAATAAATTAACGAAGACATGAGCTAAAATGAAGTCAGTGGAAATGGAGAGAAATGATTGTGTCTAAAACATGGAGAGAAAGAGTAATTGGTCTTCTTGCTAACAAGTTGAATTAAAGGATAAAGTTAGAGAAGCAACTGGTTGATTAACACGTTATGTGTTTAAGTCGATCAGAGAACAACGGGTAATGTTGAAAGAAATGATAGGAAGTGAGAAATATGAATTAATAAGTGAGGAGTACAGACAGACCCAGATTAAGTTCAGTTTTAGACTGTCATTTTTAGGAGACCAAAGACAAATGCAACTAAAGAGTGCCTGGTGGTATCCAATGTAGAGTGCTGGTAAAGATGGAATTTGGTAATAGAGATTTAGTGTTGTTATAAGAGAGATCATTATTAAATGAAGCAAATTAACATTCTAAGAGAATTATTTTGAGATAAAAGTAAAGCCAAGTTAACCTGTACATGCCTGTAATCAGAGGGGAAAAGGAGAGAAAATATCTAAGGTAGAATATAAGGGAATTAGGCAGAAAAGTGCACTGTGAAACAGTAGATAGCAGGTAGCCCAAAGCAGAGAGAGGTCAGACAACAGAGAATAAATAATCATCAGAGATGGTATCTGCTGACTTGGGTAAGAGAAAAGTCTATAGTGATAAATCAAATCCAGTTAAGATGTAGAAATTGGGCAAAGAAATAGCAGTAGTGAATGAATGCAAAAGGTGCAGAGAAATTCAAAACAGGGTTATGGTGATGAGTAAATGAATAAAATATTTGCAGAGGTATTTAGAGAGAGAGAATGGTGGTATATGTGATGTAACAAATAAAGAGAGGAGACTGTGAATAGAAGATAACGAAGAAAAATTAAGTTCAGCCAAATGATTTTGCTGTTGTTGATATTTTTATCTTTAAGAGAAGGAAAAAGTAGTTCACACCTTTAGCCTATGTAAAAGAGTCCTGCGGAGGGACTGAAAAAAATCAGCTGGGGGTATTATTCACAGATTAATTACTAAAATAATTAAGTACATTTAATTTACTTGGGATGCCAAAATTAAAAAGTGATAAGTAGATGTTAATTTCCCCAGATTATGAAAGTGATCACCTAACCACACAACCAATGACTTAAGTGAATTGTCATGTTTTTCTGACCTCAGGACCCTAGGTTTTCTACTTTCATTTTTCTGAAATTAAAATTTTGTTTCTCCAAACTTGACAGCAGCATAAAAATATACCCTTTCACTGCACAGCTGTATCACCATACTTGATCATCTACAATCACATCACTTTCATGGCATATGTACTCGAATCCAAACTCCTAAACCTGGCCCACCAGGACCTCTAGAAGTGAATCCAGTCTATCTTCGTACTGTGTAATATTTTACACCATTCTTTCCCCGACTCAATTAATGTTTTAACCACATCTTTGACTCTATTTCTATATACATCACACATTTTTTGTCTCAAGATCATTCTGACGATTGTTCTGCCCCTGCCCGCTTTTTATCACATGCTCACTTCAGGCACACACTGAGGACACAAATAGCATGCTCTTCACATATTTAGTGCCCCAAATTACCTTTTTAAAAATGTCAACCTAAAGGTTATCTTCTCCATGAAGACTGCCTAATGCACACATATTCATCCAGCCATAAGATCCTGCTTCATAATCACTTTACCCCATGACTCAATGTATTATCGTGTATTGTTAGTATACTTATGACCCCCTTGATGTATCCTCAATCACTGGTATTTGTTCAATAAATCAGACTCATTTCACTTGATTTCTTCTCTGTGTACACGTGTGTACATGAGGGTGGGGGACTGATCAAGGATAATTGGGAATCAAAGCATCAATTCAGTGATGCTAAGGACCAAGAACAGTTTCTGGAGTCCTCCTTTTAAACAATGCTTTATCAAATGGGACAATCTATAAACAACCCCACAGACAGAAAAGAGATTGTAAAAAGAATCATCAGCCATCTCGTCAATAAATGGTAGGATAAAGTTGAAAGGAACCTGGACCATAAGTCACATTTTACAAGTTAGCCCTGACTCTGATTTATTTGTTATGCTATGTGAACTTGGGACTGTCTTTTCCCTTGGAGGACCTCAGTTTTTCCATCTGAAAATGAGCAGTTGGGAACAAAAAAATCCCAGCTGAACTTCCTGCTTCCATATTCCCTGCTTTTAGATACTTAAGACTGTCGGCAATCACAATTACTAGGTTTGTGACCGGGATAGCAACAGCAATCAGAGTTATCTGATGCTGTTTGATGTATGGTTCAGCAAGACATCTGGGACAATAACATTCATTCTAGACTCTCCTGACAAAAGCTAATCAAAGGTCTCTTTCTAAAAACTGTCTCAGAAAAAAACATTCCCAAATAATTCCCATTCTATGAGGTATGGCTCTACTTACAAAAAATTCTAATAAAACAGGGTACCATATTCATAATTTCAGCCTGGTTTAGAGTGTTGAAGTAAATTTATATGTACAAGGGTGTGAGAGGCCATTGGTAGTCACCATCTGTGTTTCATGAGTATTTCCCATCACTGGAAAACCTCTGCTCACTCCACAAACAGTTAAGTGGGCTCAACTTACGTCTCCCAAACAACTTTCATCTGGGACCCCCCGCATAGGGTTGTGTTGAACAACATTGCGGGGCAGGGATCGTTTAGAATGTGAACGTGGAACGTAATATACCCAGAAGCAAATTGTAGAAGCTACATTAGATACTAGCTCTATGATCTTGGATAACCCTTTAAATTTTATCTCAGTTCATTTTTCTTCTCTCTTAAATGGTTATATTAACTATAATTACTTCAAATGTACTATGCATGTTCGTAGATCGTGTAGCCAGTGCCTAGACTGGTGTATGGGACATATTTTTGCATGCATAAATATTGACGCCTAATCCTGAACCTACCCCAGCTCCTCAGGGGCCCTTGACAAGATGTACCAATACCTTTGCTATTCCTGGTTGGAGGAAGTGGTTATGGGACCATGGAAGAGACCAGGGAAGGCAGTCTATGGAAGGAAGCTATGAATATGCTGTGAATCCTGCCTTTTAGGAGTTCATATTCAAATATATATAGAGAAAGTTTCACTTGGCAAATAGAAGATTGTATTAGAACATAGAGGAAGAATACTTCTAGGATGGGGAGTCACCATGGGAAATTAAATTAAAAAGCTGAACTGGAATTCTAAATCTTATGAGAGAGTAAGAAAGAGAATAAAGCTAAGATTTAATTGAACTTCTGTTATGTCTTGACTTCTGCTGGAAGCCTAGCTGGTGTTACTTCATCTTAATCTATAAAACAAACTTTTGAGGTAAGCAAATATCTCTTCTTTTAAAGCCGTAAGCTTCTCTACACAACAAGGATAAAACCAAGTTGCCCATGGTTGTTTAGTCAGGAGATCACAGAACTGGGGTTTAGATCCAGGCCAGTTTGTCTTTCGTATCCATGTTATTTCCACTTGGCTCTACTACCTCGCTTGGTTATGGGAAGTGTGTAATAAGTGAGTCTTATCTTCCAAGGGATTGGTCATTCATTCCTGCTATAGAAAACATGAGCGCTGGAGTGACACCAGCATCACGGCAGCATAAGACAGCCCTCCTTTGGTCCCCGCTTTTAAACAGCGAATTCTGAATCCATGCATGAACAAAAGTACCTCTGTGGGAGTTATGGGATTCAGCACCATACACCAAGGGACCCAGGAGTCTCACCCACCCACCCATGCCATCAGACGTTAGGCAGACTGAGCTTGGTAGGGGCTGTGGAGCTAGCAGGAGTTTGCTAACTGGCCACAGCCCCTCTCAGCCCCAGCAGGCGAAAAGCAAAAGAGGGCTGACTCGGAAAGACATCCATAGATGAGAGAGACTTTGTAGAAGTCCAGCCTTCCCAAGGAGAGAGTCCAGCTTTCCATTAGAGGGAAAAAAAAAAAAAAAAAAAAGAACTGGACACATGGAAGAGGACAAGAGAAACTTTGCTAGTGGTGCCCCTTCCTGGAGGTGGCACAGCATGGGGATGAAGTAGTCAGCGATGACTTCTCCCCTCAGGAAAAAGAGAGAGCAGTGAGTGAGTTCCCAGCTACCACAGCTACGGGGGACGCTGCTGGAGAAACCTGTTCCTCTCCTGCAGCACCCTGAGTATGAAGGCAGGACCTCCATAGCTGGGAGAAAGAAGAGATCAGGAAAGAGATAGGTAAGAATATCAAAGGGCATTAAAGGAACATGGTTCCTGCTGACTGCCTCTTCGACTCAGCAGGAAGCCCGCTCACACTGCTGGGAGAACCTCATCTGAGGCTCCCCACCTGGCCCGTGGGTAACCCCAATGCCCCAAGTGCTAAGTCCACCCATTCCCCAACACTGTGTGCGGCAGCAAGAGAGCCCCAGTAAACAGTCTTCGCAAACAGGTCAGGGTCTGTGGACAAGGGAGACCCTGACACTTGAGCTGCAGCACCACCATCTGAAAAAACACAAGGGAGGTTTCCAGTAGCCAGTTTGGTGAGTTGTAACAACCAGAGAAGATAAGTTTCAGAATTTTGCCACAAGGAGTAAGAAGTGTGGAGCAGGTACCCATACAAGGTTGGAGGAAATACCAGCTATAAGCAGAACCAAGAAAACAGTATCTCTCTCTAGAAGACAAGTAGAGATTTGAGGAGGTGTCCGCTGATTCAAATGAGAAAACAGCAACACAAACTCCAAGGTACATGAAGAATCAAGGAAATACGCTACCACCAGAAGATGACAAGAATCCTCTAAGAGCTGAATTCAAAGGCATGAAAGTTTGTGATTTAGCTGATAAAGAATTCAAAATAGCTGTTTTGAGGAAATTCAAGGAGGTACAAGAAAACAGAAAAATAATTTAAAGAAATCGGGAAACAATTCATGAACAAAAAGAGTTACTGAACAAAGAGATAGAAATCATAAAAAAAGATCCTAACAGAAACTCTGGAGTTGAAGATTTCTTTTTCTTCCAGTTTTTTTAAGATATAATTGACATACAGCCCTGTATAAGATTAAAGTGTACAACATACAGTAATAGTTCAACTTACATACATCATGAGATGAGTACCATAATAAGTTTAGTGAGCATCCATCATTTTGTATAGATACAAAATTAAAGAAATAAAAAAAGCTTTTCCTTGTGATGAGAACTCTGAGGATTTGCTCTGGTCACAACTTTCGTATGTAACATTCAGCAGTGTTCATTGTATTTATCACGTTGTGCATTACATCCCTGGTATTTATTTATCTTATAACTGGAAGTTTATACCTTTTGACTACCTCCGTCTTTTCTTTCTACTGGTTAATTTATGTTCCCTTTTATCAGGAAGAAGGAGATTTAGAATGGAACAGGGTGCTAGGGTGGAAGCAGATGTCTGTCCCCAGAGATGACTCTCCAAAACTAAAATTGAGGGGTTTAGTATGTGTGGAAGTACAACTACAAGCTATAGGTTCAATATTGTCTTTCTTCCATGTCTTTGTGAAAGTGTTCAACTATATTTGTGGATCTATAGTGCTATACCTAATGTCGGGCCCAACTTCTACATCTCGGAGATTAGTCACTAAATATCAAATTTTTATTCTTGGTTATTGTTAAATATTGGTTCTGTATGTTACCACCGATGGTGTTGAAGATGATTCCATTTCCAGTGTAGGAGAAGGTGACCTCATAGATTATTGTAGAAAGGAGAACTTCTCTGCAAAACAACCTTATCTTTCTTGCCTTTCTTCCTTTTCCAGTCATAATGTAGTAAGATATGCAGTCTCTTATAATAATTATGTACCCTTTTTTATTTGGCTTTTTTTTTTTGGCTTTTTTATTTGGATTTCACCCAGCAAACTTATTTTGGTGCTCATCCATGTTTTTGTGTGTACAGGGTAGTAGTGGTCCATTGTATGGATGTACCACAATTTGTTTATCAGTTTGCCTATTGATGGGCATTTGGACTGCCTCCAAGTTTGGGCTTTGACAAATTAAACTATTATGAACATTCATGTTCAAGTCTTTATAGGGATACAAGCTTTAATTTCTCTTAGGTAAATTCCTTTCCACTTAAAGTGAAAAGGCTGAGTCATATGGAAGATGTTTGACATTTAAGAACCTGCCAGATGGTTTCCAAAGTGATTGTACCATTTTACATTTCCACCAGCAGTGTATGAAAGATCCCATTTCCCAACATCAATGCCAGCACCTGGTATGGCCAGTGTTTAAAATTTTACCATGCTAATAGATGTGAAATATTACCACACTGTGATTTTAATTTGTATTTACCCAGTGACTAATGATTTTGAGCTTCTTTTCATGTCATCATTTGGTGACGTATCTGTTCAAATCTTTTGATTTCTTTTAGACTGAATTGTTTGCTTTCTGATTATGGCGCTTTGAGAGGTCTTTATATACTTGCATACAAGTCCTTTATCTTAAATATGATTTGAAACTTTTTACTCCCAGCCTTTTGCATCTTTCTATTCTAGAGCAATGGACACTCAGGTTGCTTCCATGTCCTGGCTATTGCAAACAGAGCTGCAACGAACATTGTGGTACATGACTCATTTGAATTATGGTTTTCTCAGGGTATATGCCCTGTAGTGGGATTGCTGGGTCATATGATAGTTCTATTTTTAGTTTTTAAAGGAGCCTCCATACTGTTCCTCATGGTGGCTGTATCAATCTACATTCCCCACCAACAGTGCAAGAGGGTTCCCTTTCCTCCATACGCTCTCCAGCATTGTTTGTAGATCTTTTGGTGATGGTCATTCTGACTGGTATG